TGACTAAATTGACTAGCAATACTGCAGTACAGGGTGATTTAGGATGGCTGTCATGTCATGCTAAACAAAGACTGGAAGTTTTAAGATTCTTTTATAAACTTGAAAATTCAGATAATTCTCGTATTTTGTATAAGATACATCTATGGTCGAAACGAAAACGTAGATCCTGGAACTTTAATATGGTTAAATTATTTCGCAACATGTCTGTAGAATACTTAATGCAGCCCGGAATTAGTAAAGAACAATTTTTTAAAGTGATTAAAAGTAAATTACGAATATTAGATGAACAGTTGTGGTTTACCAAACTTTGGAATGACAATTCGAATGTGAATGGAAACAAGTTGAGACTATATAGACGTTACAAGAAGGACCTTCAACCTGAACACTATGTTATTAACGCAATGCCATGACACTTACGAAGTTATTTATGTAAACTTAGATGTGGAACTTTACCTTTGTCTGTCGAGACGGGTCGTTATACGAAACCACCAATACCTTTAGAAGAAAGAATTTGTCCATTTTGTAATAATGCTATAGAAGATGAGATACACTTTTTGATTAATTGTGACATTTACAGTGACTTAAGGTTTAATTTGTTTCACAGAGCTATGGTCATGGATAATTCTTTTTTTACAAAGTCAGATTTTAATCAATTTGTATTTTTAATACAGAATGTCGAATTACAATACGAGTTATCTACCTTGGTGCATAATATGATAAGAAGACGTCGCGCACTGAAAAGCAATCTACACTCTTGATTGTATATTTCCGTAAAAGCCAAAGTTACATTTAATTTATTCATTTTTCTAATTCATTTTATTCATGTTTATTTATTTACTATTTTACTGAGAGGCTTTAAAAAATAATAAAAAAAAAACAAAACCAAGATTATTTCAATTTATTCTTCGCAATCTGTTTATATAACCCCTTAAAACATATTTTTTTTTATCACATATCATTTATTTTTTACTAATGTACGTCATACTTAATTGTGTCATTTCTATTTTAAGTTATTTTTTTTTTTTATTTAATTAATGAAAAAATTATGTAAAATTCGGATAATTTTAAACATTTTTGACATTTTACTACGTTTTACAATTTGTATTTGTTAAATAGTTATATATTTGTATATATAGTGTCTCATAAGCCTGTCTAGGCTGGGTATTTGTCTTATTTTATTGTTATGCAATGTATTTTATATAACATGTATAAAAATCTGTAGACAAGTATTTGACACTTTAATAAAATAAGTTATTATTATTTATTTATTTATTTATCAATGGAATTTTTTCGGTTGTTGTTTGTTTGTTTTAGATTTGTTTATTTTTACGTATTTTTCTGCTGATCTGTTCATATCTTAATATACATCATCCTTGTGTTGTTTATGTATATAATTGAAAGTTTAAAAGGAAGAAAGGATGATTTATCATTGCAAAACAGGCAAATAAATGTAACATGATGTCAGTATACTTAGCGACAAGATAGATAACAACAAAGGAGGAGATGTGGTTTTGAAAGGATCAAGAACAACAATAGAGGCGTTCTGGCTTTGACAAGATGAAGAACAAAAATAGAAGCGATGTGGCTTTGACAAGATGAAGAACAGCAATACAGGCGATGTGGCTTTTACATGAACAGAACAACAATAGAAGCGATTTGGCTTTGACATGAAAAGAACAACAATAGAGGCGTTGTGGTTATGACCTGTTCAAGAACAACAATTTAGGCGGTGTGGCTCTGACATAAACAGGACAATAATAGAGGCGTTGTGGCATTGACAAGACGAAGAACAAAAAGAGAGGCGATGTGGCTTTGACATGAAAAGATCAATAATAGAGGCGATGTGGTTATGACACGATCAAGAACAACAATGGAGTCGATGTGGCTTTAACAAGATGAAGAACAACAATAGAGGCGATGTGGCTTTGACATGAAAAGATCAATAACAGAGGCGATGTGGCTTTAATAAGATGAAGAACAACAAAAAAGGCGATGTGGCTTTGACATGAAAAGAATAACAATAGATGCGATGTGGCTTTTACAAGATGAAAAACAACAAAAGAGGCGATGTGGCTCTGACATGAAAAGGACAACAATAGGGGTGTTGTGGCATTGACAAGATGAAGAACAATAATAGAGGCGATGTGGCTTTGACAAGATGAAGAAAAACAATAGAGACGCTTTGGTTTCGACAACATGGAAAACATCGATAGAAGCGTTTTGGCTTTGACGATACGAAAATATTGGTTTTTAAAAAGTATTTCATAGCACGTTTCTCACATGTATATCCACACAATATTCTGTTTTCCACAACTACTTGTCAATATAAAGAAAATATGCAACACTGTTTCATTGATATGACCACTTACGAGCAACATTCCTTACAAATCATGCAAAGTAGAACTTATCATATAGACTTTGTTATTAATTATTGGATTACAATCTTTATTTTGATACGGTATTGAAATGTTATTGAAATGTTGATTTTTCTGAACTACAAATTGACATCTAATTGCTATTTTATGTTTCGTTTTGATAAATGACAAAAAGTGTATAAATATAACTGGTATGAGTTCAATCATTATGTCAAGATTAAAATCATTCATTTTTTTTATTATTTATATCCAAAGACATTGGCGACATGCACTTTGCCATTATGAGTATATGTCAAACCCACAAAAAATCAAATAATATGCATCCAAGTTACATGTATGGTCTATGCACTTATTTGAACTTCACATCTAATCAAACGACTGATAGTTTTCATTGAAAGTTAGCATGTCCAAACTGTGCTTGTACAACTAACATCCAAGTGCAGTTAAGTTACTCGTTCATTGCATGCCCTTTAATAATCAACTAATAGTAGTAATAGGGCATGTATTGCATTCCACATTATATTACATGAAATAGGTTCAACACACAATTCGGAGGTACTTGAACCAAGTCAGGATATGACAGTCAATTGTGAATAGTTTTGGACTGATTTATGGATATTGATTTTTAGTAACTGGATAGGATGATTAGCGATAGAGTAAAAAAAAACAAAAAAGGCAAAGACTTGCTCAAAATCAATTTAAAAAACATTCGCACATGACACCATATTACAGGTGAATATTTTTTTTACCATGACTTCCTTCTTGGTAGATGATTGCTGCTTAATGACAAGATAGATAATAAACCAAATGTAGTTAATGATAAAGTTTCATTCGTTAACAAGATTTACTGATCATGATTAAGTTGAACGTTAGTAAATATTTGTGTCCCACATGACCAAGGGTGTGTTGCATTTGTCGTAGCCATAATCCCGGCCGTCATCTTTTCATTAGCATGCAAATTAGCACGTGCTTTTGACTTGTTATAATCAACAAGATAGGTGGTATTAGTATACCAAGAACTGCCTGCCTTTCCAGAACACCTCAGTTCATTCATCCTTTTTTATGGGTCTAGGGTTGTTGTTGACCTTTAAAGGGTTAGTGACAGAAAGTACGCTTTGCAATATGTCCTGTCGTGTACCCTTTAAAGAGTTATTGGAAGGATTCTTTCACGCGTAGAGGGTGTTTCCCTCTCCAAACATTTGGAATCGGATTTATCTTTTCCATTACGACCTCTAGTATTAACACATCCCGCACTGACAAACAGTCACATAGGTTATTTGCTGGATTGGAGAAGTCGAGATGATCATATTTTTTATAACCTCAGAAAAACTTGGTCTAACAGAAACATACTTTTGATAAGTTCTGAGAGAGACATTTGCAGTTTAAAGGAAAGTACTGCGACATATATTTAACATACATAACCTCCTTTTCCAATAGCAGTCTAAATTTACCGCCCCTTTATCCCGGACATTAATGGTAATGGTCCGAAATATGGGCAAAATGTTGTATAAGTTAATATCCTAAATGTAAAAGAGGTCACTTTGACGACCATCATTCTTAATAACTGTCCATAGAAATATTTGAAATACCCTAAGGTATGACTATTGATAAACAAAATGTGTTTACCTTTCTGAAGTAAAAATTATATCGCCTCATATGTCCAAAATGTATGTCAAATATCTGTCACAATAAAAGCATTTCGAAATCTGTAGATGTTGATGTGTTATTTCTCAGGAAAGGGGCATTGTTTCTCAGAAAAGGGGCATTCATAATTTAGAAGGTAAACTCATATGTATATCATTAGTTTTCTAATTGTTAGTTTTCTCGTTTGAATTGTTTTACTTTTGTCATTTCGGGGCCTTTTATAGCTGACTATGGGCTTTTCTCATTGTTGAAGGCCGTACGGTGACCTATAGTTGTTAATTTCTGTGTTATTTGGTCTCTTGCGCACTTCCTCAAATAAGATGCAGAAAACCTTAAAGATGATTGCTATTTAAGGATTATAGACAATTCTGCAAAGAATGGTTAAAAATTGTATGTCAATTGTTTAAAAAGGTCCGGTTAACATATTCTGCAATTACATATATTATTATTGATTGATTGATTTGTGGTTGCTTATTGTCCAGTGTATATTATTATTACGTAATTCAATGATATGTCGAATTTGGTTTGCGTTTTAGTTTGCCGAGTGAGATTGGTAGAAGTTTAAATAATTTGTTTTAATATTGCTATAAAAAGATAAATTTATGAAATTGAAAAAAAAAAATGTAGTTTGGCTAAGGATGTGGCTATATTACCACATAAGTCTTTAAGCTGCGCTTTGACTGCTATAATGATTGATTCATTTTGCTCCTTCCATTCCCCAATTCTTGACGTAGGGGTCATTGTGACGAAATTACCAGTCGGCACGGTTAGCATATATATATATATAATATCTTCCTGTGGACTGTTACTTTGTGAATTAGCACATAACAAATCATGTTCAGAATGTCGATGAAGTACAAAACAGGGTTCATCATTAACATGTTCTCGCCCAGAATATGCATGTAATTTGCCACTGGACGTCAAACAGTTGTCCATCATCATCAGAAAATATGTATAATAAAATACAGTATTAAGTCTTCCTTTATATCAATATATTTAATGATGTGTTTTAGCTAAGATGCATATTTCATATTCATTCAAAATATTACAGATAGTATACGTAACAAGAGGCTCTCAAGAGCCTGAATCGCTCACCTGTATTTCAGAGGAGAAGATATTTAAATGTTAGCAAACTTGATGAACAAATTGTGTAAAATTGTCTTTAAAGGGCAATAACTCCTTAAGGAGTCAATTGACAATTATGGTCATATTAACTTTTTTGTAGATCTTACTTTGCTGAACATTATTGCTGCTTACAGTTTATATATATCTATAATAATATTCAAAATAATAACAAAAAACTGCAAAATTTTGTTAAAACTACCAATTCGGTGGCAGCAACCCAACAATGAGTTGTTCGATTCGTCTGAAAGATCTTGACCAATTGAACATTTTTACTCGATGTCAGATTTGCTCTAAAAGCTTTAGTTTTTGAGATATAAGCCAAAAACTGCATTTGACCCCTATGTTCTATTTTTATCCATGGCGGCCATGTTTGTCGATGGATCAAAACTTCGGATAAAATTTATAAACTAGATACCCTAAGGAACATTTAGTTAAAGTTTGAAGGTATTTGGCCCAGTAGTTTCAGAGGAGAAGATTTTTGAAATAGTTTACGACGACAGACGACGGACGACGACGGACGCCAAGTAATGGCATAAGCTCACATGGGGCCCTTCGGGCCCCGGTGAGCTAAAAATTAATAACCCTTCATTCATATTGAGGCTCATAAATGTAATACATGCATGTATTATACAATTTAAAAACAACAACATGTAATACAATAGTGTAAGAATTGCTCAGTTTTCTGTTTTCAGAAAATGTTCTCTGGTAACATATTTACCCTGAATTTCTTCACACGAAATTATATCTAAATTGTTGTTAAGAAGATTATAATTAACTTTATGTAAATTCTAAATTTCTGAATTCCTCTGTGGCGTCAGTATTTGATGCGTTGGGTCATCTGTTGTACTTATTTGAAAGGAAAACAGTTTAAACATTTTGTTTACCCAGACAAGTTTAAATTGGCCAAATGAATTGTCTTACTCAAATTTCTCTCAAATTAAGTCAATAGATTCCGCATGTGTTTTACAGCAAGTGTTGTCTTTCCTACAATAATATGGCCTTGGTGGTTGAAAACCAGTATTAAGGGATCTAAATTGGAAACCAAACTTCCGAGGAATGGTTCTGACTAACCTTGATTTAAACTAACACAAAAACCTCAAAAGAGAAAAGTTTAATGTAATTTTCTCTCTGACGCTCTTATCAAAAACAAATATTCCGTTGCAGGAGTCATGATAGCAGAGATCAAAAGAGGCATCAAGCATTATTTTATACAGAAATCATTAGAAAATGTATTCCGCCATATTGGTCTTTAACTGTATAGCAACAGCAGTAATTGTCACTAGGCAAAATACTAAGTTATATTTTTTTTTCTTATCCTGCCATTTAGAATTAGTCCAGTAGTTTTACAGAATCATCATTAAAATTAAATGACGAATGAGAAACGAATATCTTTCTAGACGAGTTGTAAAATAATTCAGTAGAGAAATTCAAAAATTTAACATCAACACTAAATATTGCAAGTATAGACATTTTACTTATTTTCTATCTTACTCAAAGCAACCCTGTTAAATACTTATTTTATTCCAATTTCTACTACTTATATCACAGATACTCTCTACGAAATAATTAAAAGGTTAGAAATATTGAAAATGTGTTACGCATCATGATAAAATTTAACTAAATATGTATGTGAAAGATAAACTGAAAGGCAAAATGACATTTGTAAGTGTCTTTAAACTTTTGGTTTCATCATTGGCTGGATAATTAAGATGGCAATAGATGATAATGTTGTTGCTGATAAAAATAACCAAAATAATATTCTATCCATAGTTAAAGCAACAAATCGCCAATCGTTCACTATACACTGATGCCTGTCTTCATAATCCTGTTTATCAATTAAAAGTTTTAAGTGATTTGTAATGCGCTCCTGTGTATTGTCAACTTCTACTTCCGATGTAATTTTCTCGTGTACGTGATTGGCGTCCTTCTCAGTACTGTAGTTACCATTGTTACGAAAGTTTGGAATACTTCCATTGCAGTTATTGCCCGTAATGTCTTCGTAAAACTGCGCCAAATAAATATCATTTTGTGGATAGTGACAATGAAGTCCATTCAACGGTCTCGGAGGTCGCAAACACATAATCTTTCCAAGAAAATTGAAACAGATTATTCGAAGCCATTTTGGAACTGGTCTTTGGTGTGGTCCGACATGGTGTAATTGAAGAACAAACACTGTGAGAATGATGGACATGGATGTCATTCCCATTGTACAGGTCAAATATATTCCTGAAATATATTTAGAATAATATTGAAATGAAACAATCAAATTTGAAGAAATTATGATTTAAATTGAAAATGTATTGATTACAGTTCTATATAAAAATAAGAAGATGTGGTATTATTGCTAATGAGACAACTCTCAACCATGATGTATGATAAGAGTGCTAACTTTTATATAATATTAGACTATAAGGATACAATGAAATAAAAAAACGAGAATGTTAAGCACAATGAACGACCAAGACAACCAAAAAAAACAACAACAACAAACCAAGAAAACCCCGAAACAAAGAAGTAAACACAAAAACGACGAAAACAAACCTAAAACGAAAAACTATTCTGTAACGGAAAATGCAACCTAAAAACGACCAAGTGATCCCCAATACGACCAACACAAGTCAAAAACAACAAATAGAACCCGAAAACGATAAGAAAAAATAAACAAGCACATATATTTATTAAATTCCTGAACGTCAGTACATAGTTAATGATAAATACCGCTTTTAATAGTTTCAACATAATTTTAACAATGATACATGTAAGAATTCAATAATTCCATTTAAGTTATTCGACTTAAAACGTTAAAAATGTGTGCATATACAGTCAATGACAACAAACAATGTAGATTTAAAGATTTAAAAAAAAAATTAAGGCAATTTTTTTTCAATTTACAGAAGAGAGGCAAAAGATACCAAAGGGACATTCAAACTCATAAGTCGAAAATAAACTGACAACGCCATGGCTAAAAAAGAAAAAGACTAATAGACAAACAACAGAACACAAAACACAACATAGAAAACTAAAGACTGAGCAACACAAACTATTCATTTCTATGTAGCAACATTCCAGCAGTGCCTGCATACGGAGTATATATCTCCCAGATAATACGATATTCCAAGTTTGTGTTTCCTATCATGATTTCCTTGATAGAGGGTTGCTGCTAACAAGGAAGCTATTAAATCAAGGGCACTGCTGGAATGTTGCTACATAGGGGTGATCTCAGGTGCTCCGGAAGGGTAAGCAGATTCTGCTCTACATGTGACACCCGTTGTGTTGCTCATGTAAGTAAAAACTCGGTGATAAGTCTAATTCCATAGGTCACATTCGGGGAAAAGAGGACGAGATTGTGGTTACGTTAATTGTTAATTGGAACATATCCGTCGTCATTTGTGTAACAGATATTCCATAACGGTCAACCAACTCGTGAAGGCGTCCGAAAAATTTACGAATGGATGATTTCAACTTCACCACTTAGAACTCTTGATTTAATAGCTTCCTTGTTAGCAGCAACCCTCTATCAAGGGAATCATGATAGGAAACACAAATTTGGAATATCGTATTATCTGGGAGATATATACTCCGTATGAAGGCACTGCTGGAATGTTGCTACATAGAAATAAAAAGATCACAATTGGGAAGCTGAAATCATCTCTTTCGTCGTAAAGTTTATTTTTCAACCAACCCTCATTGTCAATTTCTAGATGTAAGTCAAGATATAAGGCAGACTTAACTGCATCTCTTGTATCCTTTATCTCAGGTTTGATGGGATAGATGCGTTCAACATAGTCACCATGTTTTTAATTATCTAGTGAGAGAACATTGTCTATATAGCGGAAAGTGAAGTTAAAAGCATACTGCTAACTTCTTTTCTTTCTTCCTAACTTTTGTTCAGTGTTGCGCTTAGATAAACATGGCGGCGGGTGGTCTATGAAAAATTAAATCTTGTTTCCAATGATTTAGACTTTTGCATTTATGGCTAATTCAACAAGCGTTATGTTTTTCTGAAAACAAGTTGTCTAATAAATACTTGTGTAAGTTAAGTACTACAATTATAAAACAAATTACGATTTCACTTGCTGAATCATTTTTATGTAAATTTTGAATTAAAAAAAACTGCAAAGGGTTATCATAAAATCGAGAAACAGGAGGAAAACATCTTAGAAAACATAGCAAATAAATTATTATCACATTCATTCTATTCACAAAATCAATAAAATCATGAAATTTATAACAATACTTGAGAGTGTATAATAGCGTTATTCAATGAGAGATAAGACGTAACGGTTTCTCTTTGATATCAAACATTTAAGCTCTTAAACAACTTTAAGAATAAATAGACAAGAAATATACATTACTGAACATTTCAGGACATTTCTGTTGAACAACTTTTACAGTAAGGTAACCATTTTCAATTATTCATGGGATAGAAAAAGACATACGTCGTTGACAAACGAACAAAAATATAATTTACATGAGAACGGGGGACATGGTTGCAGTCATTTAATAGACTTTATTTGTTATTGCCAAGCAGCTTGTGACGTTAATATATTGATAGACTGATCAACTTCTCAGGAAGGAATTTTGCATTATCAAGAACTTCCCTTTATTTAACAAATGTCCTTGAACTTTTCATTTACTTTGAAATATAAATACCATACGTAGAAGATATAATTGTTCTTTAAAACAGAGACTTCAAGTTATTAAATTTTTCCTGTAAGAAGAATATTAATGACAGTACTAGAACTCGAAAAAAGGGTGTAATAAAGTGACTTAAATTCATTTTGTAGTATCAAAGCGACAGCGTTTTACAAAACTTCAAACTGTCCAATATCGAAACGAAAATATACTTTAAAGTAAACCTCAAAAGAATAAAATGGCAATGCGAACCAGTGAACATATTGCAAGTGTTTGCAATACTAACACCTATATATAGGATTGATCAGATGCACACTGACAGTAAGCATGATATATCTGCCGTATGTCCGTATAGACCTGTCATGGGTTATAAGCCATTTAGGAAAAGGAAATATGGTTACAGTCATCTTTTAGACAATCACTTTGTAATGATCAACCAGCTTGTGACGTTAGAATCAAAATTAATTGATCATTTCTCAAACAGAAATTTTGCATTCTCAATGAAGTCATTCTGTTTTACAAGTGGTTTCAAACTTTGCATTTACTTTGAACTGTTAACACTTTACACAGGAGACATGGTGTATTAATATAGACGTTAACACTTTACACAGGAGACATGGTGTATTAATATAGGCGTTAACACTTTACACAGGAGACATGGTGTATTAATATAGGCGTTAACACTTTACACAGGAGACATGGTGTATTAATATAGGCGTTAACACTTTACACAGGAGACATGGTGTATTAATATAGACGTTAACACTTTACACAGGAGACATGGTGTATTAATATAGGCGTTAACACTTTACACAGGAGACATGGTGTATTAATATAGGCGTTAACACTTTACACAGGAGACATGGTGTATTAATATAGGCGTTAACACTTTACACAGGAGACATGGTGTATTACTATAGGCGTTAACACTTTACACAGGAAACATGGTGTATTAATATAGGCGTTAACACTTTACACAGGAGACATGGTGTATTAATATAGGCGTTAACACTAAATTCATCAATGCATTTTTTTTGTAACTTAAATTAAAGCTTTTTGTAAACCGTTTTTCAGTTGAAGACCTAGAATGAAAATATGAACAGAGAAGAAATGTGATAGACTCACTTTTTTGGCCTTCTTATTCGTAAATCAGAATGAATGTATCTTAAAACTATGAAATTATTTTCGTAGCAATAAGTATGTTTGTTTTGTTTATTTATTTATTATACCCCCTCCTTTGCAATGAGGTCCGCACAATAAGTGCCAATAGGAATTTTAATTGTTGGTTTGAAAGTGTTGAAACGGAATTCAACAACTAATGACCACTTAAGAAGTTATATATGCGGACAATATCTGTTTCTGAGCTATTTTGTAAGACCCGGTGTGAACAAAACAAAGCTTATAGTTTTCCATTTCATACGAACTAAATAATTGTTGTAAAAAATGATGATGATGTTTACACCAACTAGGCATCAAGTAATTAATAATTCTAATAAAAGTCACATATATATTATCATTATCTTTGCATATACTTTATTACAGTTTACTCAGTGGAAATGGACGAACGCAGGACGGACAGATGCTTTTATCTTAAAGTTTGAAATAAATGCAGTGAAAGCAATATTATCAAAACTATAAACAGTATTGCAAACAACTGTTTGACGTTAACTTTACTAACGGAGTTCGAAAAATTACAAAAGTGCTAGCTGAAACTTTATTAAAATGTAAATAATTATATATGGCGGGTACTGAGTAATTGACAACTGTTCGAAAAGTAGTAATACACAACGACTTTTGATACCGTTGTACATATTAATCACTGTTGGCTCGCCAACTGAAGACCTGTAGTAAAATCGTCATTCTTCATGTTATTGGTTTTATTTGTGCCACACAAATATAGCACCTTCGTCAATAGTAGATATGGGGGAAAACTGAGATAGGCCTAATATTATACTTAACATAATCTGTACTCATGGTGTCTGTACAATACTTACCAATCAATGGGACAAACTCGGATGTTGCTGGCATATTTTCCGCAATAAGTAACATAAACACAGAAAACGCCAAAAGAACGGTTATTCCAAGCGTAATTTTCTCCCCTGAATCTGGTGGCAACCAGAAACCTAACAAACTTAGTATAGACAGCCACAAACAAGGAAATATTATATTGAATAAATAGTATAGTGTTTTTCGGCGTATAACTATAGTAAACGTAACATCTGGATACGGTACCGGACAACATGCGTAGTATACTTCATTTCGGACAACTCGTATATCAAGAAGTTCCCATTCTCCGCTGTACACATAGTTAGATAAATCTACAAAAGTTGAACGGTTTGTTAAATCAACCTGAAATCCATCATATGTCCACGATCCAAACTTCATTACACATGTTTGGTCGTCAAAAGGGAAAAATGTTATATCAATTTTACATGAACTTCTAAATTTTGCAGGAGGTGGCCAGAAAACTGTTCCATTACACGATACCATAGCTTTACTCTGCATATAACCTGAGGTAAAGTCGTCAGCACTGAAATGTAAGAATAAAAAAAGTCAATTATATTTAATGGGTAATGTGTAAGACTGCAACCAACGAACTCTATAGTTAATTAAAGTATTTTGAAGGAGTTTAGTAATGTGTAGACTCGGTCGACTCATAAACTATATACAGTCAGATGGAGTTACATGTAATAGGTTTATTTATCAATAAACTCCTACAAAATAGCCTCATTACTTGTAATTCCAAATTATGCACTGAAAAGTATGTCTATATCAAGTATCTCATCGACATTTACAAAACTATTTTACCTGTGTAGGAATTCATATTCCTGACGTCCTGATAAAGGTTATATATCATATGTATTTATCACACATTTGTTACAAAAACATTAGGTTTTGCATATAAATTTGGTTTTGCTAAGTTCAAATAATCGGCTGATAAGGGGGCTGATATTGGCTTACCATGCAATTGTTATGAGAGAGCCACATCTGCCCTCACGTGCAAAATCCATATCGACCCTCTTCCGGTTTGGAGAGTCATGTACAATATTCTAGACTTGATTAACTGAATGTAACCCTGCCGCACGGTTTGTAAAACTGTTTGAACAACGCAGCGTTCAAACAAAATAAGCCATCGTTTATTTTTGAATCTGTATTATTATACGACCGCAAAAAATTTGCGTTCGTATATTGCTATCATGTCGTCGTCGACGTCGTCCGAAGACATTTGGTTTCCGGACAATAACTTTAGCATAAGTGGATGGATCTCTATGAAATTTAACCACAAGGTTCAATAGCACAATAGAAAGGTTGGGGTTGATTTTGGGGGTTATGGTCCCAACTGTTTATGAATTAGGGGTAAAAAAGGGGCCAAAAAAGGCATTTTTCTAATTTCCGGACAATAACTTAAGATGTATAAGTGTATGGATCTCTAAGAAAATTGTACCACAAGGTTCTATACCACACAGGGAAAGTTGGGATTGACTTTGGGGGTTATGGTCCAAACCGTTCAGGAATTAGGGGCAAAAAAGGGGGAACAAGGTTTTTCTGGTTAATGGACAATTACTTAAGTCTTAGTCTATGGATCTCTATGAAATTGAAACGCAAGGTTCCATACCACAAAGGAAACGTTGGGTTTGACTTTGTTGGTTGTGGCTTTAATTGTTAAGAAACTAGAGGCCAAATAGGGGCCAAAAACAAGACTTTTCTAATACTGGCTGAGCTGGTTCTAACATAAATTATTTCTGATCTATATAAAGAAACAACAAATACTGATATGACAGGAAATACACACCAAACAGGGTGTGTAAATTATTATATTTAGTTTGTAAACAGATTTACTAAGTATTGCGCAACAGCAAAGTATTGCACAACAGCAAGAAATCTTCAATTGAAAATAAATACAAATCTTTTAACCAATTTCAATGAGGATTAATTCAAAGTCTTGAATTATTTGAGGTTTTTACCATGTATTACTATATTGGATATTTGGACATTTTCAAATAGGTCTACATTGAGGTCCAAAGGGTCCAAAATTAGACTTGTTTGATTTCATCAAAAACTAAATTCTTGTGGTTCTATGATATGCTGAATCTAACTGTGCATTCAGATTTTTAATTTTAGGCCCTGTTTTCAAATTAGTCCATATTAAGATACAAAGGGTCCAAAATTAAACTTTGTTTAAATTCAAGTTTTTTTGTTATATGCTGAATCGAACCATGAAATTAGATTTTGGATATTGGACCATTAAGTAGATTAAATGTCCCATTTCAAATTAAGTTATCTGACCACATTTATTCTCTGTCAGAATTCTATAATGTGTCAAAATATTTCATCATTATCCAAATTCAGAGCTGTATCAAGCTTGAATATTGTGTCCATACTTGTCCCAACTGTTCAGAATTCGACCTCTGCGGTCGTATCCAGCTGCTCCAGGCGGAGCGCATTTTATTTTCAAAATGACATCATCGCCCTATGTTATAACTTCGTTGCTGGCAAGAATATATTGAAAGTCTGAGAAGATCATGTGTGGTTACGGGGATTATTGAGGAATCGTTGGAACTTTAAAAAATGCGGAGGGATGGGGTGTTTAAGAATAAACAAATAAAGAAAAAACAAAACAAAAGTCTTTATTCAATAGTGTTTTCTATTTTCTCGTTCCAATTTCAAAGGCTAATTATTATTGTGATAGATAGATCATTACATTGAATTTTCTGGATCAGCCCTCGTATCATCCCTCGATCCACATCGGGATATTGGGCTAAAGTAATATATGCTTGTCCCAAGGAAATGAAATGCATGCCGAAAGAACAAAAATTAGTATTATCATAAAAGGAACTTTAAGAATGATAATGTTGTATGCAAATCAACTCATCATCGATACATAAAGCCATACATTCTCGTGTATTGTGAGTATCAGACCCGACTTACATTCTCATGTATTGTGAGTATCAGATCCGACTTACATTCTCATGCGTTGTGAGTATCAGATTCGACTTACATTCTCATGTATTGTAAGTATCAGACCCGACTTACATTCTCGTGTATTGTGAGTATCAGATCCGACTTACATTCTCATGTATTATGAGTATCAGATCCGACTAACATTCTCGTGTATTGTGAGTATCAGATCCGACTTACATTCTGGTGTATTGTGAGTATCAGATCCGACTTACATTCTCATGTATTGCGAGTATCAGATCCGACTAACATTCTCGTGTATTGTGAGTATCAGATCCGACTTGTTTGTAGGATTTAAAAGTTAGCCTTCCACATTTATGTTTTTGAAAACCTAGGTATGAAACTGTTTGGTATCTTTTTAAAGAGACTTTGCACATTCATAGATCACCAAAGTGTGAGTGAATACAATCCAAAGTCATCAATGTGTGAATAAAAAGGTTGCTGACTTTTAACTACACTGTTTCATTTATGAACTGCACATATACAACAATATTTGCTGTTTAATTCTTAAAACCTTGTCCGTGCTCAATCACTAATTTAGTTGTGTAATTTAGTTTATTAACATTAGAAATAAAACAAATCAAATAATAAAACTGCATGTGTGAAAATATGATATACATTAACCAGATGAAGAGACATTCACATTAACAGTTTCAATATATCGACATGAGTTTCTAAAACTGTAACATTACTTGTGGAAAACAGTTTACATAATTTTAAGGTGTTTGCATTTTTCCTACAAAATTCCGGTAAATATTTTCTTTCATCGACTAAAGATTTACAAGACGAAAAATAATGATACTCATCACCGATTTCAGCCAAGCCACAGAGACGACACAATCTATAATTGTTTTACAGAGTATACTATCTCCCTCTCTCGACTGATAACAAGTAAAATAACAAAAATACCGAACTCCTAGGAAAATTCAAATCGGAAAGTCCCTTATAAAATGGCAAAATCAAAAGCTCAAACACATCAAACGAATGGAAAATAACTGTCATATTCCTGACCTGGTACAGGCATTTCCTTATGTAGAAAATGGTGGATTAAACCTGGTTTTAAAGCTAGCTAAACCTCTCACTTGTATGACAGTCGCATAAAATTCTATTATATTGACAACAATGTGTGAACAGAACAAACAGACATTATAGGTAAAAATGTCAAAAATAGGGGTAAACGGTGACTATCACATCTAAATTTTCAAAACGTATACATACAATTCAATGGTAATTTGATATTTATTCCTCAAATTTAATTAATTAAGATTAGAAAGATTCATCAAATGAACGGAACAATTTTGTAAATTTTCTGACATTAAAAGTATGTGCTATCAAAATATCTGCAGGTTTTCGCTGTATAATTGATTCCTTTTAAGGTTGCTTGAAGAATTAATCATGGCTCAAAGAAACAATGTATATATCATACATTACATAATGTCATTCTGTACAAATAAAGTGGGTAATTTACTGCGTCAGGGTATTGGAAGAACCGTTAGGACTCATAAATTTGACAAATGATACAGCTACAATGTAAAAGCTAGTAATTCACAGTTGGCGTAATCAGAAACACTGACAGTTCGAAAGAAAAATAGTCATTTTAGCAATAAACGATTTCTCTTCAAACATTTTTTTTTCTGAATTATCAAGAATTAATCTGTTTCTATGTATATGTTTTAGCTCACTTGACCCACAGGGCCAGTTTGGGATATTGTTATTACTTGGCGTCCGTCGTCTATCGCCCTTACAACTTACAATCTTATCCTCTGAAAATACCAAGCCAAATATAACCAACCTTGGCCAAATCAACATCAAAGTATTTGTTTGGAAAATTACTAAAAATACAATATAGTGGTTAAATGCTAGTATTCGTCTAATGTACCCTGTAGAGAAAATCCTTATCAGACTTATTGCCTATAAATGATGATATTTGACCAATGCTGGCATTTTTGCAAATTATCTTGAAAACTATAATTATGATAGCTAAACAGAAAGTGTGCACAGCAATAATGATCAGCAACACAAGATGTACAAATACGTTAATATGACTGAAATCATTAATGGACTAGTTATTCGAGTCTTTGGCACTAAATGAAATAACACGTTCGTGCGATCGAAGCGCTTTTCTGGATTTATCTTCACACTAAATCATGATTTTTACTTATTTTGTTATTTTTCGGCTATTATAAATAGACAGAAAATGTAGGAGCAACATTGATAAAAATGATTGATTGATTGATTGATTGTTGGTTACTTAACGTTCAGTGGCAAATATTTCATGCATGTTCAGGACGATAAAAAAAAGATCTACAAGTAAGTCAATATAACTGAAATCGTTAATCTACACCTTGTGAGGTTGTTGACTTAAAGTGACGTTTTTGATGATTTTTAGTGCTTTTACATACTATCTTGAAAACCATAATTAGAAAAGCCGAAACTTTCAACGCCAAAAATGATCCTCGTTGTAATATCTACAGATAACTCAAGCAATCAATTTCTAGTGTTGTTGCCATTTAAACCACGATTTTACCCATTGTTTTCTTTTTGTCAATTAGCTTTAAAATAAAAGAAAAGAAAAAGGAAAAAAAATCACACACAACTGTAGTCAATTTGTGATCAGCAAAACAAGATCTTAAAAAAAGTTACATAACCGAAATCATCAATAGACTTCTTATAGGAATTTTTGTTATTGAATGCCAATTTCTCCCATTTTTGTTTGATTTTGGCTATTATCTGGAAAACTATAATAGATCGACAAAAACGGTAGTCAATATGTCACTTATCTCCAGGTAAGTCATCGTAGGACTTATTGTCCATATTTTTATCCATTTTTGCAGCCGAAAGGATCATATTATGGGGCATCAGTTTGTCTGCGTGAGTTGTATAAATATGCAATGCCAAGTCAGGTCAAAGCAGGGACGTTAACTTTGATGCCTCGTGAATGGAGAATCCTCGACTTTCAGCACGTTAAAACACTTCAATTAATTCTTTGAGGATTCCGTGTGTGACATAATGCGAGGCAAAATTTCAGTCCCAATACAACATACTCTCCTTTCCCTGTGGCAGTCTCAATTTGCCGACTACTAAAGTATCCCAATCGCCCACATAGACAACATAACGTCTACACAAGACTCATCATGTCAATTGTACTCGAATCAAAACAGTGAAAACCGTATAATAGTATCAAAAATAAAAATGAAAATGACACTTAATCAATGTTATGCGTCCAAAGCGCTTTTACCTGATTTAAGTACATCAGGAACGTTCATACCCCCCCCCCCCCCCCCCCCCAAAAAAAAAACAACATCAAATTGAAGGGCAATGATGTATAACTACTGAAACACACTTAAATAATGCCATTGTGTTCAAGTTATGTGTGGTAATTAAAACTGCTGATACATCCCGAGAACCTGAGTGCAGCTTATTTTTTGGGGGTTAGTGTCTTGAATATTAATATTTTCATCATGACTTCTTCCTTCTGGCAATAAAACTTGTGCATGATGTATAAATATGAAGCCATGTCCGGTTGGAATAGGAATGCCTGTGTAGTGTGAAAATAACATGCTATTTGCACATTATCGAACACTTGCAACAACTATGTGAGGGTTCGTAAAGATCCTGTTGTAAACCAAATAACTGCCCCGTCCAACATAGTAGTACACTCCTTTTATCAAGTAGGAGCACCCTTCACTCCGGTCGATCAATTTTGCAGAAACTGCACGCACCTGTAAGATTTATTGTTATTTTTCCCGTCCTGAATATACCCAGACTTCTCGTTTCTCGTTTTTTATATAGATTAGATCGTAGGTTTTCCTGTTTGAATGGTTTTACACTAGTCTTTTTGGGGTCCTTTATAGCTTGCTGTTCGGAGTGAGCCAGGGCTCGGTGTTGAAGGCCGTACTTTGACCTATAATTGTTTACTTTTTACACATTGTGACTTGGATGGATAGTTAAAGGCCGTACTTTGACCTATAATTGTTTACTTTTTACACGTTGTGACTTGGATGGATAGTTGTCACATTGGCACTCATACCACATCTTCGTATTTATATTAACCAATCGGTCAGTACTCAATTGATGACATGTATTAGTCGATCACTAATCGATCAAACTCCTCATAAAAAGAAATATTGATCACAAAACCTTAATCTAAAAACAATCAATTAATCATCATCTATCATTTTACCTGTTATACAGCACTATATCTGGTAGCCAGATTTTTTCACAAGGCATCCTCAGTATTTCTAGTCCATTGTAATCAGCAGGGTTCCACACTAGTCTCTCGTCAATCCATTCCTACAAAAAAATAATCCCAGAAAATAACTCAATGATAAAACAAAGGTCGTTGTTGTGAAAAGTAAAATCACAAAAATACTGAACTCCGAGGAAAATTCAAAAAGGAAAGTCCCCAATCAAATGGCAAAATCAAAAAAAACAAACACATCAAACGAATGGATAACAACTGTCATGTTGTGATCCACCGTCAATACATGCAGAATACATATTTTGCATTTTGTCTTTGTAAAATCTTATCGATTTGTGTGTGTACATTCGTGTCCATTATTTTTCCTTGCAATTAAATAATTTTGGGTTTTTTCAAACCTTTTTACATTCAGAAGACAACTGCATGAAATACAACATATCAATAATTTAGTTATTCATGTTTTAACAAATAATCAAATAATGTATATATACCTGTTCAAGCCAAACGTTGGTTGTTAATACCTGGTTAACTTCATCCTGTAAAAATAAAGTTATAGTTAGAAAACAACAATTCACTATTATAGCATTCATTACAAGTTCGTCAAACTTTCTAGACGGAAAATGTACATTTAAAAAAAGTCTATGGTTTAAATTATTTGCTTTGAAAGTTCTTATGGATTTCTGTTAAGAATTATTCAACTGCTTTTATTTTATATTTTTAAAATGTGTGTGTTTTACATTTTGACAGGCTTCGTCATCATTTTGCCTAGAAATTATGAAATAATAGACATATGCATGTTAGTATACAATTGCTTCTGATAGAAAAAATGTTGCTAATTCAAAAAAAGAAAAACATATATAATCACTAGTCTTTTGTAATATATACACCTCGCCAAAAGTTAAGCAACACCTGATATTTTTTCAGAATTGTTTTTACTGAATTCATAACTAATCGAAATATCGATGAAATGAACTGAATTTGTGTTTTTATTAGATAACATACAGAATGTTAATTGCCAAGTGAAAGTTTGGACTGTTTTCATGATTAAATTGTTGACTATTACATTTTGGGCAAATGGTTCTAAAATTGCAAATAAAAAAGACAGGATAAAGCTTCAACTTATACTGAAGTTTTTGACAAATTTGGTCATCACTATACACAAAATTCTTTTCAAAACTCGAGAGTGACACTTTGTGAATACATTCAAGTACAATTTAGGTCATTAGCGAGTGTAACCTCCACGTTTCCGGAAAAGTTCATCAACACGTTGTCTCATGCTTTGAACTAAGCATCGTAATGTTCTAACAGGAATTCTTTGCCATTCTTCAATCAAGGCTGCTCGTAATTCATGTAAATTCTGATAAGCTGGAACCCTGTTTTTTGATTTTTCGACCAATATCATCCAAGACATGCTCAATGGGATTCATATCCGATGACATGGGTGGCCAAGGAATAGTGTCAATTGCCTCTTGACGTAAATAGTCTGAAACAATGCGTGCTCTGTGTGGCCTAGCATTATCGTCCGTGAATATTGGTCTAGTTGCAAGATTGTGATTGTCAAAATGAGACACAACGATATCCCGGATGATGTTATCGCGATAATTTTGGCCCGTCATAGTCCTATCCAGAACATAAAGGTTCATTTTGCAGTCGAATATAAGCATCACCAAACTTTCAAACCCCCACCACCAAACGCTGTAGTTCCAAGGATGTGCTGTTCCCTGTATGCTGTATTCCGAGGACGCCATACACGCATGCGCCCATCAATATGATGTAGGAGTAATCTGCTCTCGTCAGACCAATGGACTCGACGCCACTGTCTCAAAGTCCAATTGCGATGATCACGTGACCACTGATGTCGAGCTTGACGATGCTTACGAGTCAGCAATGGTCTTTTGACTGGCCTACGGGCACGTAAATGGGCACAATTTAGTTTACGGTTAACAGTTCGTAGACTCACGCGACCATGTATTCCCCAGTTATCGCGTATGCGGCGAGAAGTAGTGAATGGATGTCGACGAGCTGACTGTGAAAGAGCCCTGTCATCTCTTGCAGATGTTTTACGTGGCCTACCAGATCGTTCGCGCTCATCAACGGTCCCACTATCTCTATGGCACTTTAATAATCTCGAAATTACACTGTATGCAACCCCAAATTGAACAGCTTTTCTGCGCAGACTCAAACCAGTAGTGCGCATACCAATGACTTGCCATTTCTGTGCAATTGTTAACTTACGTCTGGGCATCTTCCAAAACAGAATATTTATCGTATACACTGACAAAACAGCACGTGAAACACCTTACATTTTATTGTACGAAACTTGCAAGGAAAAAACTTGTATATAGATTTAGAAAACCTGTTTTTAAGATACCTAGGAATAAAATCTATACCTGAATTCTTACCTGTCGATTAACAATAGATTAACGAAATATATGAAAACAAAGCAGTATCAAATTTGATTTTAAAACAAAAAATAGAAGCAAAACATTTAGGTGTTGCTTAACTTTTGGCGAGGTGATAGATCTGAAGAGATAGTGTTTAGACATTTGTTTATTTACTGTTTATGTGAGTTATTTACATGTTTTAGTTTCTTGTGTTGCTAATTTATGCACAAATCATTACAAACGCTCTTAGTGAGTTTATTCAAATGCAGCATCAAAGACGAACTCCCCTGAGTTACACCTTTTTCCTGAAGTCATAATTTAAAAGACCTTTGAATCGATACAAAAGTCATTGTGAAAGATGTGATATAGTAGGTTTCCTTTGACAACATAACAATTTGAATTCAACATTTACTTGAATTTCAAAGAGTTAATGTAGTAACATGAATTTATCGGTAGATAATATTGGATTACTAGTCAAGCTGATTTTATTAGTCTTTTATGATAATTTCAAATACAGTAATGCCATTAATTGAACGTATGTATGGTGACAAATAAAGTATTATGTGTTGGTTGTCATGACTATGTATGGAGATACACTTCTGTGCCTTGTTCTTAGAACTCTTTTGTATGAATCAGAAAATAAAATTAGTTCCTTCAAAAAAAATTGTATGTTTAGAATAAACGTCATTACTCTTGAAAAGGTTAAGTGACATTTACTATTTACTGTTTAAAAGCAGCTGCATTCTGAAATGTCATTCTTGGCTTTACAAAAAAGTGCAAAGTAAAACCAGATTGTTTTAATGCATTATCTTTTTTAGCAATGCCACCGTAGTGTTAGACATCTGTTTTGTAATCGAAGGGATTTGTGAAGTAACATGTTTTTAAAACAATACATCTACCTAAATTTTCTCATATTACTCATTATACCTTATTTTCAGAAGTACATGTACTAAATAAACAGTATGATGAATGTTAAAGATAAAAATACAAAGTATATTATACTGAAACAATATTGATAACTAAATTGTATGTATTATTGCATATATTTTTTGTGAATATCCGTATGTCTGTTTGTACAAAGTAAGTCAGTGAACATGCAGCTCTTCAGTCTCCTATTATCGTGTTATAATTGTTTAGAAAAGGAACATGACAAGTGCTTAAAGACAATTCAAAGACTAATTCTTCTCTGAACTTGCTGTAAAGACATTGGGAGTCGGGGCACTGCATAAAAATTTGTTTTGCCAGTAATGTTTTAAATCTGCATGATTTATCTCATGATTAAGCAAAACATTTAAAATCTTCTAAAATAAGTACGTCTTCTTTATTTTCTTAACCATAAAACAAAAGCCATATTCATTCAATCATGAGATTACTTTATCCCATTCAACGTTATTTCAAATGGTTATATATAGTTTCTGTAAAGAAGCTTTTTTTAAGAGTTGTATCCGTAGCATATTGCAAAACCGCTCAAGGCTAATGATCGCTGGATTTTACACTCTTGTCTTTAAGATTTTTGTCTACATTGGAGGTAATTATGTAAACTAAAATATGATTTATCTTATTAAAGATAATATATATTTTTTCATTCAAAAGAGCAAGAAAATACCAATTATCATATGAAAATATAATTGTCTCTAAATTAATATTTGTGTAATCAATTGACACCAACTATCACCGTACTTCATGCAATCAGGAATAACATTTAATGGAATTGAATGATGGTGATATATGTGGTTTTAGGCATATGCACATGGAAATTTGGCGGGATAAACTAATTTATTTTCCCCTTTTGCAATCTTGATCAGTAGATAAACAAAATGGTCATAATAGGACAAACAAAAAAATAACAGTACAGAAAAAGCAATTAACTCTAAAATAATTGTATTATAGATAACCAAAAAAAAATAAATAACAAATTCAGTGCCAAAAAGTGCGTATTGATATTATAGTTTTGATATTTTGATTTTAAAAAAATGTTGCAGAAATTTCACTTGCGTTGAATTGATAGATTTTTAGATTCGGTATGCATAGAAAAATAAACATAATTTTTAATGTAGGGAATGGTTTACAAAAAGAACGTTCACATTAAAAGCTCTGAGATGAGTAATAGGCATCGTAAGTATAAAATTGCATTACATACTACACAAAAAATAAAATATTATATGTAAACCAACTGCATATAATGATATGTTCACAACTACATTTGCATTATAGAAAAACAAAATATAGGGGTTATCCATCTATGCCACAAAATCAATAGATGCACAGCAAAAAACACACAAAAAGTAACGGGACAGCGCTTTTATTGCTGTTCTTCGTCTCAAAGTTACACAGGGACCTTCAACATACTTCGAATCAATAAAAAAAAAGATTCTGAAAGCAATCTGAAATAACGTAGCGTTCCGATTTCAATGCGGATGTTCTGCAATAAAGTTCACCATATACGCTAGTCTAAGAGATCAAAACTTAAGAAAGAAATAAACACAAAATGTTTTAGACGATACAAACATAAAAAGCCTGGACAGAAAAGCTAAAACAACTGCCGTCAATTTTATCTTAATTACGTATCAATTAACTGGGAATTTACTGACAAGAATGTTTGTATTAGCATCACAACCAAAAAATGACCTAAACAGAGCAGACAATTATATGTTATTCATTAAATTATTTAAGGACAACATTACCAGACTATCCATTCAATTAAAATTATGTCATACTCTGTTGTTAAAAAATAAAAGTTATTTTTCCTTTCTCGTTAAATTCCTTGCCTTCAAAATATTGGATGGGGTTTTTGATATTTCCTATGATACAATAATTGGATGCAATCTTTTTGTGGCAATGCTATTATTGAGAAATATTATTTACGCCAAATTCGCCAGAATTCGGAATTCACTTGCGCTAAATTAGTTGTATGAATTTGTCTATCCATCGGGAGAAATCCGTCTCCGCCAAAAAAACGTCCTTTTGTGCCACAACTCGTTTGCGCCAATACTATATGCCACTTGTTTTTAAGATACCTTGTATCATTTCGTCGCCAAAAATTTAGTATGCGATTGCCCCAATTAATTGATGAAATTGTATTTTAATTCTAAATTAAACAATCGAATGCCGTTTTGGGAGGGGAAAAACTACGGTTACCAATAATCAAAATG